GCAGGTGCCCGGCGCTGCACATGGCGCAGCCAGGCTGGGCGCCCGCTGCGCTGCTCGCCACAGATGGCGGGCGCGAGCCCTCGCGGGCCGGCCGCGATCACGAGGGCGGGGGGCGGGGAGGCGCGTGCTCGCCCCTAGTGCCTTAGTCGGGCGTGTCCCCCTACAGGGGGATTTTCGACGACAAATATATATAATTAAAGAACTAGTCCTTAACCCTAGCGCCCTAGTGCCCAACTTAACCCTGGTGCCTTAGTCGGTTTTATGGATGTGTGCACTTGGGCGGTGGTGCTTCGCGGGGCGTGGTCTGGCGGTTTTAGTGAAGCGTGCGAGGCGAGGCAGGGCAAGACTGCCGGTGGCCTCACGACGGAAGGAAAATCGGCATTGCGCTGCATGTCGCCCTCGGTGTAATGAGCGAACCCGGCAATCCTGTCGCAGGTGCGTAGGGGGGGAGTTGGGGCCGAGGAAGAGGCGAGTCCCGCCCGCGCGGGCATCGCCCTCGCTGAACGGGGCGTCGCCGGCACGCCCTCGATAAGTTCCGCCGGAGAGCGCGAGAGGCCGCGAGAGGCTTGAGCAAGCTTCGGTGGACTCATGAGCGTCCTGGAAGCCTCGGAGTCTAGACCAGCAGGCCCCTGAGGCTCCTGAGGTGCGACGGGGGGCCTTGCCCCCCTCCCCCACCCCCGCCACCTTCCGATTGGATTTGGGGCCCTAGGGGAGAAGAACAGGGGGAAGGGGGACAGCCGAATGTCCCGCGCGCCTTGTCCCCCCCCCCCCGCCAGCGGGGATCGACGGGTGTTAGATTGTTTCTCAAACGACGCACTTGTTCGATCGGTCCGCGCTCGCCGCGCCGTGCTATGTATGTGACGGGGGTGAAGAGCTGTCGATGACGGGCGGGACTGTTTGGGCTGCTATAGTTTGTTATCCGGAATGTGGTAATGTGTTAAACATGTGTTAACATGTGGTGATGTGTTAAGTGTGTTATACATATGGCAACGTGTTAACAATATTATAGATGTGGTAATGTGTTAAGTGTGCTATAAATGCTAAGAATGTGGTAATGTGTAAAACATGTTAAAACATGTGGATAGTTTGTTATCCGGGAATGTGTTAAACATGCGGTACTTCGGCGGAGGACGGCGGGGGGACGGCGGATCGGCCCGGCCCGGGGCGGGGTGAGCGTTTCAGTTCTCTTATGGGAGGAGGTCTGCGCGTGGCAATCTACCAGGGCAAGGAGTTGTCGGGGGCGGAAAAGAGGGGGGTGAAGACTAAGGGGGGGTGGATATCATGGCGGGGACCATGATTTTTCCCAGATTTCATGGCGCCTCTTCTTATTTCATTACGTCCCTGGCCCCCCCCGCAGGGCCGCGCACATGCGGCCGGTCATGATTTGCACCCCCCCTCTTGGACACCCCCCTCTTGGCCGCTCCCGAAATTGAGTGCAATCAACATGTGCACCCAGGCACGCGAACCAGCGCAGGAAGGCAGCATTCTCTGGCGCTGGGAGACAACACGTCAAGACCCAGAACTGCCAGCCAGCGCGCGAGGCGGACATGAGTTGGCGCGGGCGCCGACCAGCCAAAAGTTTGGAACCGCTCGCCAGCCCGTGGGGCTGGCTTGAGGTGAGCATTGACGCTGACGGTGCGAAAATCCAAACCCGTTGACCAATTATCTAGTAGCAGCAGAAGTATGTTTTACTTCAAGCGCTGTTTAGGGGGCACGTGCATGTCCGGCGGATGTTTCGGACTTGTGGGATCTCATTGGGATGAAGCGATTTGAACGAGAAGGGTGTTGAAACATCGTCCGCATGGCACTCGGAAGACGAAGGTTTCGGTCCGCATGCATCCCAGAAGCAATGCCGCATTCTTGAAATAGTCATGATGAATATTGAATGCGTTTCGTCGTCCGGTTTGGTCTTAGTTTGGCGAGCCCCGGGCAGCCGTTCGTCCCAGGACTAAGGTACAAGAAAACAGAACTCCCGTTCGGCCGTGTAACCCTGAAAGCATATGGCATCACATGTAAGGCGTGCGCGTGGCAATGGACAGCTTGATTGTGGTGCAGCTCGACGCACATCGCCACATCGTTGACGCTCAGCAAGCCCATGTCAAGCCATTGTACGAATGTTCTTCCTTCGCGTAACCAGAATGGCTGGCTCAAGGGGATTTTGGCGCAAGCTGCTTGCAGCACTTGGTCGAACAATTTGTCCGCCTGGTAGCCCAGAGGTTTCCGCCAAGAAGTTCGCACCCGATGATGTCGGCGACAACTCGCGCGGTTGTCGCTGTAGCCTTTCTCTTTGCCGCAACTGCCCAGGGCGAAGTCGCAACGGGCTTCGCCCTCGTGGACGAGGACGGGCGGGATGTTCTCTCGGAAGCGGCCGCCCACGACGCGCCGACCGAAGGGTACCGGCCGTCGGGCAGCGTCTTGATGCTCCAGTTCCAGTCGCACAACGTGTCTTTCAAGTACAAGTTGTACCGCAAAACCGTGTCGCCCTCGGGTGGCAGCGTCTTCGTGCACGGCAAGGGTGGAAAGAAGGAGCGTGCTCTCAACCAGCCCGCTGTCTTCAGGAGCCCCGACCGAGATGCGGTGTTGACGGCGGTGGGGCGGAGTTTTACGGGCACCGTGATGGTGGGATCCAGGATGTTTGACATTCGGCACTGGCACGGTAGCACCGTCCTCGAGGTGACGCTCTTCGACGCCAAGCCGTCCGCCGTGGCAGGAGTGGGCAGTCTGCGTCCGAACGGCTCTCTGAAGGAGCCAGCCGTGGACAGGCGCTTGTCAATCCTCAACCCCGAGGCGATCGACCAGTGGACTGATTGCTACCCTGGAGAGGAGACCATGCGCACTTTCAAATTCGGTGCGATAATTTCGTCCAACGTGTGGAGAGCGGAGAATTTCCAGAGCGATCTAGAGGCAGAGGATTGGGTCCACGCCATGGTCGAAAATGCGAACATGGCGTTCGAGCCCCAGCTAAATATCAACCTGCAGTTGGGAAGTCTCTACATCCAGCAGACCCACGACGGTGCCCCGGGCTGGGATCAAGGCGAATTGTGTCCGATGAGCATCGAGGACCAGTTGTGGGCTGTGACCGGATGGGAGGCTCCGGACAACACCATGGGGGTGTGGCATATTTTCGACGACTGTTACGAGACGGCGTATGGCGGGCAGACCGGGCAGATCGGTCGCGCGTGGATCGGGATTTTGTGTTGGACTTACGAAGGTGGCGGATACAACCGAGCAGTCAACTGGCTGAGCCACGCCCCTTATGGAAATCCCACCTGGCATATAGTCGCGCATGAGATGGGTCATAACTTCGGAGCCATGCACTCGTTCGAGAATGGCGAGGGAACTACAGGCGGCATTATGGATTATGCAGACGGTTCGCTCGACGGCGTGTACCAGTTCAACGACCTCCGCAAAACTGAAATCTGCACTCAGATTTCCAACACAGTCGGCAGTTGTTCGGGATTCTCGATTTTCCAGGCTGTCTGCGGCAACGGTATCACGGAGCCCGGTGAGGGTTGCGAGTGCAGCGATAGGTCGCAGGCTTGCGACGGGTGTTGCAGTTGCCAGTTGCAGGCGCGACTCGGTGCTTTCGCAGAACCAGTGCAGTGCTCGTATGGTGCCATCGGCCATGGTGGTTGTTGCAACGAGTCGGGCATGTTCGAGAAGGTGGGCACCGAGTGCACGCTGGCCGAAGGCCACGGCTACTGCAACGAGGGCGTATGCATCACCAGCCACGTCTGTGCACACAGCAGCATGTTCGACAGCTACTGCGGGTTCGAGGCGAACGGTTGCAAGATCAAGTGCACCCAGGCTGAAGACAGCACGTGCCTCAGCCTCAGCAATTGGGAAGTGAATGGCCAGCCCATCAACAATGTCCCAGACGGAACGCCTTGCAAACAGAATGGCGTTGCTGGCAAGTGCAGCGCTGGCGCCTGCACGCTTCCTGTGGAGATGACCCTCTCGGGTGTTGTGACGGCGGGTGCTCTTGTGGAGCCCAATCTTCGTTCGACGGCCTCGAATTTCAGCGGGTGCGTGGGTTTTGCCGAACGCGGCTTCCTCGGCCACGCAGACGTGGCAGTCTTCCTCACGGGGAAAACATTGACCCAGTGCAGCAATGAGTGCACGAACGCTTGGCAGTGCCACTCCTTTGTTCACAGTGCTGGCACTGGTTTCTGCGAATTGTGGTCCATCAAGAAGTTCGAGCAGGATTTGGCAGTTGTGCCAGGTTATGATACCTACATCTGTGACGCCTATGCTGCTGGCTTAGATTTCCCTGACGCCGACTGCGATGAGAACGCTGACGTAGTCGCACCAGGTGTCCCTGCTCTGGAGCGCAGCGCGGACAGCGGGTACAACCGCAGCGCTTGCTACAACACTTGCAAGGGAGACCCTGATTGCCACGTATTCGTCTTCATTGAAGGGCCTGGCAGTTGCCAGCTTTACCCTTCCGAGGTGTCTGAAGCTAATTTGGTTTACAAGGATCCCAGCGAGGGCCGTAGCACCTGCATTCTGCCGTGCCATGGCCGTGGCAAGATTTGCCCATGCCGCGAGAGCCCTACCTCTAAGGTCCGCATGCCGTGCCAGTGCAATGCGGCCACCAGCCCTCTCGAGAATGAGTGCGACATCCACAAGTACTGCTACGACGGAACATGCGCCGACTCACCGAAGCGTCGGCTGTCAGGCTTCTGCGCGCCCACTCCCGCGCCACCGACCCCAGCCTTGACAGCCGCGCCGACTCCAGGGCCAACACCCGAACCGACCAGCTCGCCGACCCCCGTGCCGACCAGCTCGCCGACTGCCCTACCGAGCTTTTCGCCGACCCCCGCGCCGACCAGCTCGCCGACTCCCCTACCGACCTTGTCGCCGACCCCCGCGCCGACCAGCTCGCCGACTCCCCTACCGACCTTGTCGCCGACCCCCGCGCCGACAAGCTCGCCGACTCCCCTACCGACAAGGTCGCCGACACCCGCGCCGTTCAGCCCGCCGACTCCCGCACCGACCAGGTCGCCGACCCCCGCGCCGGCAATCTCGCCGACTCCCCTACCGACAAGGTCGCCGACCCCCGCGCCGACCAGCCCGCCGACTCCCGCACCGACCAGGTCGCCAACCCCCGCGCCGGCAAGCTCGCCGACTCCCGCACCGACCATGTCGCCGACCCCCGCGCCGACCAGGTCTCCAACTAACGCACCGGCAAGCTCGCCGACGGCTTCACCGACCAGCTCGCCGACCGCCACACCGACCAGCTCGCCGATTCTCGCACCGACCAGCTCCCTGACCCCAGCGCCGACCAGCTCGCCAAATTTTGGACCGACCTTCTCGCCGACCCCCGCGCCAACCAGCTCACCGACTTCAGAAGCGACCACCACATCTGCGACTGGTGCCAGCACCACTCACACAAACACACCGGTGACGCAGACGAGCACCACTACGCTTCTCTGGTCTATGAGTGCCTCTATGTCGTTCGCTTGCCAAGGCACGCGAGTGCAGGTGGAGAGTGCAGCGTCGACTGCATTGGCTACCCATTACGGCGTGCCCTTGAGCATTGTAACCGCGGTTGCTACAGTCCAGTCTCGAAGGCTCATGTCGGCCAGGGAGCTCACAAGCTCGACTTATTGGACGGTCGATTACCAAATCGTTGCTGACGAAAGCACGATCGACAGAGTATACCAGGCTGCGACCGAGTTGTCCGTCGCAGCCAACGCTACCGCCCTGGAGTCATTCGACGATCTTCTGATGAGCGCTTTATCGGGCGCGGGCGTTGAAACATCTGAGCCAGTTCAGGCATTTCACACGGGGTCCCAGAAACAGTTGATCACAGCCTCCACTTCGGAGGAGGAGCTCGTGACGACAACGACAGAGGATAACAATTTCCGAGTTGAAGAAGTTGTAGAGTTGTGGAGAAAATTCAACCTCGCGATCGCCGCAGTGATCGCCGTATGCGCTACTGTTAGTTTGATAGTCTTGTGTTGCCTGGCCTACCGCTGCGTGAGGTATCGCCAGCGGCACAAGAGTCATCAGTGGTCCCAAGAAGATCAGCAGCTGTCCTCAAATGTCCAGCTGCCTTCGGCAAGTCCCGACACCGTACCAGCCCAGTGCTCGCGGAGGCTATTGTTCGAGGGCGACAGGTGGTTGTATCGTGTGAGGGGAGCGGTATTAAACGGTACAGAGTGTTTCGGCGAGCGGAACAGCCGTCTGAACGCCATCTTATGTCATGTGTCGGCCATATTGAATTTACTTGGATCATTTCAGGTCGTCCTGCGGCGAAGTTTGAGGATGAAGGGGACGATGATGAGGATGGGGGAGAAGGACGATGAGTAGACACAAAGGGAGGACGCGCACAGTAGTGGACGAGTGCAATGTGGAACATCATGATGGCGACGGTGTGGAGGAGTACAGGAGGTGCATGAGGTGGAAGATGAGGAAGAGGGAGGTCCTCACGTGGAATCTGTCTGTCTCCAGTTCACGACGGGCTCTCTGTGCTACTCGGGGTACGGTTGGGCAGGCTTTGAGTAGTTTGGGCTGTCTCGTGGTTCTCCTGGCCCTTCTTGCGGCTCTCCTGGGCACTTTGATGTTTCCAGGGCCGCATTGGGGCTCTCTTCGCCGTCCGAGGTACCTTTGGCGCGTTGCGGGTCTGTCGTAGAGTTTTTTATGGTCGTTGAGGGGCGCCATTCCTCCTCCTCCTCCTCCTCCTCCTCCTCCTCCTCCTCCTCCTCCTCCTCCTCCCCTCCTCCTCCTCCCTCCTCCTCCTCCCCCCTCCCCCCCCTCCTCCTCCCCCTCCTCCTCCTCCTCCTCCTCCTCCTCCTCCTCCTCCTCCTCCTCCTTTGTGCGGGCAGGGCTTTCTCGCGGGGCTGTCCGGGGCTCATCTGTGGTAAAGTTGAAGCTCTTTTAGGGCACCCGTGGGCCGTCACGTAGCTTCCCTGGCCGTCGAGGGGTCCTCTAAGGCCGTCCTGGGTCCCTTCGGAGGTCCTCTTGGGCAGCTTGGTGCTCGCCTGGGGCCGTCGTGGGACGTCTAAGAGTCATCGTGGCCCTTCTTGAGGCCGTCTTGGAAGATGGTTGGGCCACTTGGGAGGCTCCATGAGCCGTCGTGGCGCCATCTCTGGGGTCGGGCCGTCTGGAACTGAAGGAGGCCCGAAGCCTGCAGACGCCAGAACCATTCCCAAGCCCAAGGGGTACTCCGGATTTCGTGATAAAAGGGAAGGGGTCTGGACCCTCCAAGACAAGCCATTTCAGACCTCCCCCATGGGAGAACCCTCCAAAACATCGTCCCCAGACCCCCCAGGCCCTCCAAGATAGCCTGGAAGAGACCCCCCGAAATGAGACCCCCTCCCTTTATTACGAAATCTGGAGTAATATACGAGTTGGGCATCTTCTGGGCATTGTGGGGGCCTCGAAGTCCAGCTTGAGGCCATCTCTGGCCGTCTTGGGGCCACCTGGGGCAGCCGCGGAGGCGTCGGTATGCTATCCTGTCAGCCTCGGCTGCCTGCCTCGGCCGTCTCTTGGAAGTTCGGGAGCGCGGATCCGTTCGTTTCGTCCAGCGGCTCGGGAGCGCGGAGGAGCGCGGAGCCGTCGTGTTTTTCACAAGGGCTCGTGGCGTCGAGAGCGGGGATGGACAGCTCTTTACACACGAAGGGGGGGACGGTGCGCATGGAGAACTCTTCTTGGGGAGGGTCGGGGGTCATGCAGATGATTTGCACAGCGAACCACTACCAGGGAGTACTTCGCACTCTGCTACGCCTCAACGTGCCAGGGCGCACGAGGGCGGAGTCCCGAACCCAATGCCTCCGAATCAAATGTCCCAAAGGGGAGCCAAGTCGCTTCGGAGACTTTATCGGACTCGGCAGTCTCAGTCTAGCCTCGTAGGTGTCAGCTTGTGTCCCCAGGTTGACGTCGTCGTGCTGTGTTTAACAGCTGTGGTCGTTTCGGCCCAAGACCGTGACGAACAAAGCCGGGGCGGGTCCGCTGTTGCGCCAGAGGCCCGCTGCGTTCCGCGCAGGGTGGTCTAGGCGAGGATGCGGAGGGTATGCGTGTGTGTTGATGAAGGAGCTCCTGCTTGGCTCGGCTGCGTTCGCGCCTCGTCTAGAGCTTGCTCGACTGTTTGTTTGCCTATGCGTTTTTCCACCGCGCAGGCGCGACGCGGGAGGCACAGACAGCGAGATTTGGCTTCGTTTGGCATCCAGGGGGTGTTCCTCTTGTGCCAGGGGCATGTCAGGTCGGGGGGTTCGACGCTTCGGTGCCTGGTCTGATGTAGTTCGGGCCCTCGGACTACCCCTCCCCCCTGCCAGACACCCTGGGGAGGCCGTGACATCTAGCGTTTACTTGGTTGCGCGTGGCTGGAGGCGTAGGCGGGCTCCTCGCGCCCTGTCCGTAGCCAGGGTCGGGCGTGCCAAAGTGTTCTCCAACTTTCAGCTGATGTGCGTCACGGTCAGGTGGCCTGCAGTGTTCTGCTCGGGCTGCAAGTTTTTACCAGTTCGCGCCGTGCACGCCGAGTGTGATTCATCGCAGTATTGGCGCTCTGTACAGCTGGTCACCCGACCAGCCGTGGTCGGAAGCCGTTTCTCCAGTTGTCCGTTGGCCAATCCCCATCCGCTCGGTTCTTCGTCTTCCTCTTCGCCTCGTCCTTATCTTCGTCCTCCTCTTCCTCCAGCGGGTCAAGGCCAGGTCTTCTAGTATCCGGGCGTCATGAGGAATCGTGACAGCATTCGGGATACAGCCCGGCCTTGCGATGAAGTCTTGCGGAATGCAGGTGAGACCCACTTGGATGAAGTAGCCAGAGTCAGGTGGTCAGGGCATGTTGTTCCAGCCAAGTCTGTTGACGATCCTGCGGCCTTCGAGAAACAGAGCTGCTTACTTTCTTTGGTGAAAGATGCTCGTCACGGAGATTCCCGTATCCCCGTATATCCTCGAGCGCGTCTTCTGAGGAATTTCCGAGCGAGCGGGTTTAAATGCAATTGAGATGTAGCACATGCGGTAGGGTGCGATGAGCATGCATGTGATTGCGTTGAGTACGGGAGGCTAGGCATGAGTGCGTCTGACCATAGGCCGGTGTAAGCACGCGTGGGTCTGAGTGTAAGTGAGCCTGGGTACCAGTGAGCCTGAGCGTGAGTCAGTTTGAAAATGAGTGTCCGTGCGTAGGTGAGTCTAGGCGGGGGGGGAGTTTGAGATTGAGTGGCTATGTATGGGTGTGCTTGCGTCTGAATGAGTGAGTCCGAGTGTGAGCCAATGCATGGGTGGGTGGGAATGGGTGGGCTTGGGTATGGGAGTCTGGGCATGAACGAGTCTGGTTGTGGGCGTGTTCGAGTGTGAGCGGCTGAGTACGGGAGGAAGTCAGAGTATCAGCGCGTCTGGTTCTGAGCGCGTCTGCGCATGAGTGGATCTGAGCACGAGTGTGCCTCTGAGTGAGTGCGGACATCCTGACACCTTCACGGCCCGCCTGGGGCCGCCTTGGGCAGGGGCCTCTTGGGAGCGTCGTGGGGCTTGCCGGGGCTCCAGGCGCGCTCCAGGGCTCCCCCGAGAGGACAGGCGGAGGGACGAGCAGGAGTGCGGGGGCAGCAGGAGGAGGGGGGGTGGGAGAGAAGAGCACGTGACCTCCCTAGCACGAGCGTCATAGAAAGGTCTCACAAGTCTGGGACGGACCAGGCCAATGCCTACAACACCCCTGGTCGACACCCCCTGTTGGCTCGCAGTGATCATGGGTCTTTGCGACTAGACACGTCCTACCAATCTTGGCGCGAACAGACCATGGATTGCTGGTGGTGCAGCCCTGGTCGACACCGTCTTGGGAGACCTTGATGCGACGCCTGCTGAATCGCGGTGACGCTTGAATTTTGAAAAAGCAGCGATGCGTCTGCCATCTAATGCCATGCTCACCGCGGGCAGGACCGACCTCCCCTCCCCCGCATGCGTCACGCTCAGACGTCCCCTCCAGATCGAAAGCTCGCCGCATGCGCCGATGTTTCTTGAGGTACGCGCTCATGCGCAGCCCAGGTCGGCGCCACCGTGGAGACGGGCCACGGGGCTCCCCGCGACCCCCTTGTCCAGGCCCCCACGACGCCGCGAGGCCTCTCCCCCGTGATCAGGTAAATCCTGGGCTGCCTCACTCGGCACCCACCATACCGAGCGGGCCACTCCCGGCCGGCCCCGTATCGGCCAAGGCGTATGCGACTTGTCACTGATTCGTGTGAGCGGAGATCTCTCACGCCGACAGTGGGTGGTCAGGTCCTTTGGGCCCAGGCGCCAGATTGTCTCAAGATTCCCCCAGCACCTTTGCCAGCTTGGCCCTCGGGGCCCTAGACCCGTCTGGAGACTGTGGTGTCTGTTATTGTTGTCCGTGCGAGCGCCTGTCTTGAGATCTTTTGGGTGGTGTACTTCTATCGCCAACAGCTTCCTAAATAGTTCAGGTGGACGCCCTGAGGCTGCGAAGACGACCCAGGATGACACAAGACACCCCGCGAAAATTTCATTACATACGTTCCCAAGACAGCCTCAAGGGGGCCTTTCTTGTGAGGACCCCCTTGGTTGTTCAAGCTCAGGCCCAGTCAGGGTACCACGATGGAATCGCATTGTGGTCAGCATTGTGAGAGTGCCGACAGCCCTCAGTGGCTTCAGCCATACAATATACGCCCCAGATGAAGCCCAAGAGGGTGTTCAGCACGGTCTTGAGAAGAACTTAGAAGCGCCCCATGGGGTTCCAAGGAACTCCCATTCCCAGGAGGACTAGGTGACGCCTCAACGCACATAGATCATGATCCCAAGAGCCCCAAGTAACCACAAATAGCCAAATGTAGGTACTTGTTCTTCTGGGAGGGGTCAATCGTCTTTTAAGCTCTCTGGGGATTACCGTGGGACAAGATTCGCGGCTGTATCCCAGACGCGTGAGATCGGGTTGCGCATATTCCCATACATTTGACCAGTCGTGCCTTTTCTGCACGAAACCTCCGTTGCAAATGCGCGAGACGGGAATTCAAATGCTCGCGAATCGCCCGCGTGGTTTTAGTTTGATTTGAGTGTCCCACTAATCGTGGCCCGAACGGGCCCGTGAGAAACTGTAGGTCGACACCTTCTTTCGAGGCCCAAGCGCGATGCCTGCTACATCCTTGTAAAAGACGGGCTCGAGGTAAACTCTGAAAAGGGAGCCGTGTACGCTCGCCCCCCTTCCCCCCCCCCCCCCCCACACACACACACACACACACACACACACACACACACACACACACACACATATACACACACACGCATACACACATACACACACAGACACACACACTTGCCCCCCCACACCTACTCTCTCCTGGCCACCCCTGAAGAAGTAGAGCTCCACACCAGAAATTCAACATCAACGGGGCACGCACGTCCCAAGCTACATCTAATTAGAGCGGCGCCAAAAACACAACAAAGACCCAAGGGGGCCCAATATAGCTCCCATGGGGACACCGGTGTAATTTTCAAACGCCTCTTAGGATACCTGTGTGGCTGTCTCTACGACACGTGAGGTGTTGTTGTGCGCGTGTCTACCGAGGGTTGCTCCGGCGAGTCACCGCCGCCCCCCGGCTTCTGGCAGCGCGTTTGCGGTGGAACGGTGGGCGTCAGCATGGCAATGGTAGTGGATTTTGGGAAAGATTTGGGAGGAGTTCTTCTGATGCCGTCTAGGGGCGGTTCTGGTGTTGACTTCTTGCATGTGCGGCCTTCTCGGGGCCTGCTGGGGCCTTGCTTGGCCATCTTCGGGTCCCATGGGGCCGTCTTATTGTGATCTTGGACCATCTGGCTCCCAGAAATAACGACGCCGACCAGGAATTTGTATCACGCCCGCCTCCAAGACGGCCAAGATGGCTTCACGTGCTGCCCAAGACCCCTCCCCCCCTCCCCCCCTTACTCTGCTCCTGAAGAGAGAGCAATCACCATCTCCCCATCAGAAGGTCGTCGAAATATCGGGAAGAGCGTGTTCTACCGCTGCTGGCGGAAAACCGGGGGGGGTCACTACCGGTTCGAACCCCTTCCCCCCCCCCCCTCTAGAAAACCGGGGGTGGTCACTACCGGTTCGAACCCCTCCCCTTCCCCCCCAGTTCATCATGAAAAGGGGGGGGGTCACTACCGGTTCGAACCCCCCCCCCCCCCCCTCGAACTCGAAAACCGAGGGGGTCACTACCGGTTCGAACCCCCCCCCCCCCTCGAAAACCGAGGGGTGGTGCGGACAGTGGTTGGGACGGTGGTGGTGGGGACAGTGGTGAGGGGACAACGGGACAGTGGTGGGGACAGTGGGACAGTGGTGGGGACGGTAGTGGTGGGGATAATGGTGAGGACAATGGTGGGAACAGTGGGGACAGTGGGACAGTGGTGGGGACGGTGGTGGTGGGGACAGTGGTGTGGGGACAGTGGGAATGTGGTGGAAACAGTGGGACAGTGGAGGGTACAGTGGTGGTGGGGACAGTGGTGAAGGCGGTGGCGACGGCGGTGGGAAAATGGGACAGAGGTACAGTGGGGACAGTGGTGGGGACAGTGGGGGCAGTGGTGGGAACAGTGGGACAGCTCAGTGGGACAGCGGAGGAGTCAGTGGGACAGTGGGGACAGTGGGGATAGTCGTGGAGAAAGTTGGGAGAGTGGAGCCGTGGTGGGAACAGTGGTGGGGACAGTGGGGGACAGTGCGACAGTGGTGGTGGCACTGGTGGGGACAGTAGGGGCGGTGGTGGAACCAGTGGGGACAGTGGTGGTGAGGACAGTGGCGCTGGGAACAACAGTGGGGGATGTGGTGAGGACGGTGGTAGGGACCGGGAGTCGTTTGCTGGAGGTGAGAGGGGAGGTGGGGAGGGGTTCGAACCGGTACCCCCCCCCCTCCGGTTTTCGAGGGGGGGGGGGGGTCGAACCGGCAGTGACCCCCCCCGGTTTTCGAGTTCGGGGGGGGGGGGGGGGGTTAGGAGAGGTGGGGGGGTTTTGCCGGGGGGGGGGGGGGGGGGGAGGGGTTCCAGCAGGGGGGGGGGATTTTCGGGAGAGGGGGGGGGGGGACCTCCGGGTTCCGGAGGAAAAGGGCGGCAATTTTCCACAGTAAAGCGGCGGTGGATCACGCTCTCTCAAATATCGGGTTCCGGAGGAAAAGGGCGGCAATTTTCCACAGTAAAGCGGCGGTGGATCACGCTCTCTCAAATATCGACTCGAGCGGTTTCATTCAGGAGGGGAAAAACACACAAACACCATGAAGCGTCGGTTCCGCCGAAAAGATATGAAAATATGGGAAGTGGGGGGGGAAGACAAGAACCCCGAAAATATGGGAACATATGGGGAATCCGGTTATTTACATGTGTGTGTATATATATATATGTATGTGTGTATATGTGTGTGTGTGTGTCCCGGGGCCCCTTCATTCGTCCTTGGCCGGCAGAGGCCGGAGGCGTGATGACTGCGGCGCCGCGGTGGTCGTGGGGCTCCGGGCAGGGGCGCGCGCCACCTGCCGAGACGAGTGCCTGGCGTCGAGCTCCGGAGGCTGGGCGAGGGCCTGGACGTCCTCTTCGACTGGCCCAGCCTGCCCCAGAGGGTGACGGGCGAAGAACGGTTTGACATAAACTGTTTCGCCGTCGGGGGCGCCTGTCCCAGAGCGGCTGGAAAGTTTACACCCTTACGGTGGCACCGTAGGGGTATAGACTTTCCAGCCGCCCTGGGGCAGGTGTCCCCGACGGCGAAAAAGTTTATTTTGTACCGTTCTTCGCCCTTTAAAGAGGGAGTGTTCTGATGAGGACCAGGCGCGCTTCGACCGGGGCCTCGGGGCCGTGAACCGCGGTGCCGTGCCAGAGAAGGGATTCCCCCTCGGGGGCAACAAAGTCGTGGACCTGGCCGTCTTCCTCGACTGGCCCGGCCTGCCCCGAAAGTTGGGCGAGGACTGCTGAAACTGTGGCTGCTAAAACGGCCCTCCCGGAAGGAAAAAACAACTTCCCGGAATGAGGCGCGGCACGCGAAACAGTCAACGGGCTTCTTCCCGGAAGGACGAAGACAATTTCCCAGAGGTCGACAATTTAGCAGCCCTCGCCCGGCTTCCGAGAGATGCCACCTATGTGGGCCCGACGGGTTACGTGGAACACCCTTGGTGGACACTTTCTTGGGAGGCGCATGCAATGATTGCTGCATCACGATGGTCATTCACCACCCACCAAACCTCCCCAACCCAACCCGAAGGCTCAGATTTATCCTCGATGTCCAGTGGGAGGGGTCGGGAAACATCGAAAAAACACATGTGGAACCCTTACCCCCCCAACCCGAAATTCGGGTCTTCGGGTTGGGTTGGGGTGGTCTGGTAGGTAGTCAGTCATGGGGGCTCTGACAGGAGACACACCCACCCACCCACCCGAAACACGTGGTTCTTTCACAGAGGTTCCGCCACGATGGGTGCGAAACGAGCGGGCCCATGGAACACCCATGGTCAGCGCCCTCTTTGGAAGACCGGGTGCGACGCTCGCTAGAGTCCGTATGATATGGAGTGAGCTTCAGTATGAGTGTATTGGGTACATGAGACCGAGTGAGAGTGAGTTTTAGCAAGAGCGATTGGATACAAGGGACTGCGTGAACGTGCCTTGATTTGGGTGAACTAGATACTGAATAGGTCGGAATCGGAATTTTCCATGTGAGTGAGTGTGAGGATGGGTGAGTCGGGCTGTGAGACTGGCCATGAGTCTGGGGAGAAGGCGGGTGAGGAGGTGAGGAGGCGGATCTTCTCTCCCCTATTTGATTCCTTCCTCCACATCCTCCTCCCCGACACCAGCTCCCGGCCTCCCAGAGGGCCCCTGCGGGGGTCGCCGGGTCGCTGTTCCGCCAAGAAATCTTGGGACATCTTGGGGCCGCCCCCCTGGCCGCCCCCCTTCGCGGCCAGCCTCTTCGTGGAGAGTGCAGATTGTGCTGCCCGATTCCTCGCCGCCCCTCATTGTCCCCTTGCCCTGTCCCCTTCAATCTTCCCCCCCTGCTCTCCCCCCCCCATTTGGTCTACCTTGCCTTTCCCTCGCCGCCCTCCATGGTCCCCCTCACCTTCTCCCCCAGCCCCCCTCTCCCTCCCCCCACCCCTTCTCCCTCCATTCCCGCCCCCTCCCAGCTCGATCGGCCACCCCTCGCAGCTCGATCGGCCACCCTGGGAAGAGCCCCCTCCTCTCAGGCAGGCGCATGGTTCGACTGCCAGTCCAGGGGGAGGGGGGGGGGTCGGCGCGCGGGGACGCTCCGACGAGGGTCGAATGATCCAGGAGCTGGTGCTAACGGTGTTCATTGACGGGTGGAGCAAGGCGAGGAGGTCAATCAGGGCGAGAAGGAGGAGTGCATGCGTGACGTGGGGAGGGGACGCGGGCGCAGGAAGGATAGTTGGAGTGGGTGATGGAGATGCGATGACCAGGAGGTCAATCAGGGCGAGAAGGAGGAGTTCATACGCGACGTGGGGAGGGGACGCGGGGGCAGGGGAAGGGCACTAGCGAGGACGAGGGAGGAAGAGGAGGAGGAGGAGGAGGAGGAGGACGAGGAGGAGGAGTCCCAGGCTTAGGTCGTGAGTTGTCAGGATCTGCGGGGACTCGACGGGCGGATCAGAGGATCAAACTCCGCAGCAGGTCCAGCAGCTGGCCCGCAACGCCAACTTCGAGCCGCCGCCGACCTCTGCGCCTGCTGCCGGCGGCAGTGCGAAGGGGCTCCTCGGCCGGACGGCCAGCCCTCGGCTTCGGGTGCTCTCACGCGGGGTTCTTCCTCGGGCTGGCGCTGCTCCAGCCTTCGGGGGATGAAAAAGAGTATCAATGACACGCTGCCGTCGGGAGCGCGTCAGCATATCATTCATTTTTCTGTCCGAAGACGCTGTCTCTTCAACAGTAACCCGCTGATAGGTTGCCCAAGGCGGCGTGGCACTGATATCGTTGTTGCTCTCCCGGGCCTGCTTGCCCACCTCTTGGAGGCAGTGCCCTGGGCTGGGTCAGCATGACGGGGAGGGGTCCTGGAGCTCCCGTTGCTGCGTTATTCGAGGCTGCGTGGTGGATGGTTCGCAGTCCATGGTGTTGTGTTGTGTCCTCGGTGTGACCTTCCCATCTATGGTCAGGGATACGAGTCGCACACTGCTTGTAGCCATTGCGCTCGACAGTGCATTGCATGGCTGCATGACGCACAGTTGGTTTGTTTCTGTTTGGCGAGTGCATTGCGGCACTTCCACGCCATCGAGGGCGGGCATTACGTTATGTTCAATGTGTGTGTCCGCACACGTGCGCATTCATAATCGTGGTTGGATGAACATTGGGATTGAGTCGCCATGCGCGCATATTGATCCTCGGGCTGTTCCATCTCTCTCTCTCTCTCTCTTTCTATCTTGCGCTCTATCTCTTATTTCTTCTATTTATCGTAATGTGCTTATCTATATTTCTACCTTTCTTTTACAATACGTACATGTGTAAACATTAAGTGTGCAGTCGTTAATATAATACAAACGTCAACTATATAGTATGAAGATTGATAATGTAAACATGTAGCTTACATACATTTGTTTATACATATATATACACATACTCTCTTTATCACACAGTACATGGATATGTAAGCATACATACATTCGTATTATCTATATGTATATATTCATAATTAAAAATATGCTTGCCCCCCCCCCATCACCCCCAAACGACGGACTGGGGAGGGGGGGGGTGCATCCTCCTCATCTTCGTCGTCCTTCTCATCGTCCTCCTCTCCTCATCCTGATTTCCTTATCTCCTTATATTATCTCCTCCTCCTCCTCCTGCTCCTCACCCAGATGAGCCGCTAGCCCGCTGCGTCGCACCTCGCAGACCTATTATCGAGCACGGATTCATGCGCGTGTCATGCTGTTTCATGGCGAAAATTGTTGCGTCGCCGTCGTCGTGAAAGCACATCGAAGGGAGTCTATTGGATCCTCCTTTCCTTTCTTCTTCCTTGTTGCAAAGCAAGAAAACCAAACATACACAGTGTTTGGTACCCTCGGTGCAAGGAAACGCTGTGTTTTTTGGTTTGAGAAGCAATGAAACGCTGATATATATATATATATATATATATATATGGTTTTGCAAGCCCCTTTCCTTTCCTCTTCCTTGTTGCAAAACAAGAAAACCTAAATATACACAGTGTTTGGCGCCCTCGGTGCTAGGAAACGCTTTTTTTTTTGGTTTGAGAATCAAGGAAGCCTTGTGCATTTTTGTTTTTTGTTTTTCCCAACCATCCTGTGGTGTTGGGTCCTCGTTTTGAAGAGACGGTGGCCCGCGTCTCCTCCTCTCCTCCTCTCCTCCTCCTCCCCCTCCTTCCTCCTCCCTCCTCCCACCGTCATCATCGTCATCACCCATTTCGGTACACCCCTCACACGTTTCGTGGCCCCATAGGGAGCTCCACCGAAGGCCCCAGTGCTGCCGTCCGCATGCGTCCCGCACACCCATTTCGGCACACCCCTCACACGTTTCGTGGCCCCATAGGGAGCTCCACCGAAGGCCCCAGGCTGCCGTCCGCATGCGTCCCGCACACCCATTTCGGCACACCCCTCACACGTTTCGTGGCCCCATAGGGAGCTCCACCGAAGGCCCCAGTGCTGCCGTCCGCATGCGTCCCGCACACCCCTCATTTCGGCACACCCCTCATGCGTCCCGCACACCAATTTCGGCACACCCCTTCACACGTTTCGTGGCCCCACAGGGAGCTCCACGAAGGCCCCATGCTGCCGTCCGCATGCGTCCCGCACACCCATTTCGGCACACCCCTCACACGTTTCGTGGCCCCACAGGGAGCTCCACCGAAGGCCCCAGTGCTGCCGTCCGCATGCGTCCCGCACACCCATTTCGGCACACCCCTCACACGTTTCGTGGCCCCATAGGGAGCTCCACCGAAGGCCCCATGGCTGCCGTCCGCATGCGTCCCGCACACCCATTTCGGCACACCCCTCACACGTTTCGTGGCCCCACAGGGAGCTCCACCGAAGGCCCCAGTGCTGCCGTCCGCATGCGTCCCGCACACCCATTTCGGCACACCCCTCACACGTTTCGTGGCCCCACAGGGAGCTCCACCGAAGGCCCCAGGCTGCCGTCCGCATGCGTCCCGCACACCCATTTCGGCACACCCCTCACACGTTTCGTGGCCCCACAGGGAGCTCCACCGAAGGCCCCAGTGCTGCCGTCCGCATGCGTCCCGCACACCCATTTCGGCACACCCCTCACACGTTTCGTGGCCCCATAGGGAGCTCCACCGAAGGCCCCATGGCTGCCGTCCGCATGCGTCCCGCACACCCATTTCGGCACACCCCTCACACGTTTCGTGGCCCCACAGGGAGCTCCACCGAAGGCCCCAGTGCTGCCGTCCGCATGCGTCCCGCACACCCATTTCGGCACACCCCTCACACGTTTCGTGGCCCCATAGGGAGCTCCACCGAAGGCCCCAGGGCTGCCGTCCGCATGCGTCCCGCACACCCATTTCGGCACACCCCTCACACGTTTCGTGGCCCCACAGGGAGCTCCACCGAAGGCCCCAGTGCTGCCGTCCGCATGCGTCCCGCACACGAAGGCCCCATGGCTGCCGTCCGCATGCGTCCCGCACACCCATTTCGGCACACCCCTCACACGTTTCGTGGCCCCACAGGGAGCTCCACCGAAGGCCCCAGTGCTGCCGTCCGCATGCGTCCCGCACACCCATTTCGGCACACCCCTCACACGTTTCGTGGCCCCACAGGGAGCTCCACCGAAGGCCCCATGGCTGCCGTCCGCATGCGTCCCGCACACCCATTTCGGCACACCCCTCACACGTTTCGTGGCCCCACAGGGAGCTCCACCGAAGGCCCCAGTGCTGCCGTCCGCATGCGTCCCGCACACCCATTTCGGCACACCCCTCACACGTTTCGTGGCCCCATAGGGAGCTCCACCGAAGGCCCCATGGCTGCCGTCCGCATGCGTCCCGCACACCCATTTCGGCACACCCCTCACACGTTTCGTGGCCCCACAGGGAGCTCCACCGAAGGCCCCAGTGCTGCCGTCCGCATGCGTCCCGCACACCAGGTGTGTGGCGTGCCGACATGGGCGTCGCGGCGCGCGGGCGCTGCCGTCGGGGTTCCCAGGGAAGCCCCCTGCAGAGGCGACGCTCAGAGTCACGAGTACCGAGAGTCACGCAGACCCAAACTGTTCACAGTCGTATACATACATTTACACTGGGCGTATCCATGCACGCATTCATGCGAATAGAATCAATCGCGCGCAGATTCATTCATAATCAGACTCGCTCGCGATCCGACTCGCACGCTCTCAAGCTTTCATATTCGGACCTATCGTCTTCGTTCGTGTTGTGTACACTGCCACGCATTTCGGCACACCCCTCATACGGCTCGTGGCCCCATAGGGAGCGCCACCGAAGAAGATATTCAAATTGCGGTACTCTCAACTGCATATGGTCGGGTCCTTCGCCAGGCTAATTTTGGTTTTGGAAGCCCCGACGCTCGCACCAGCCTCCCTCCCAGCACCCTTAGAGCTTGCAAAACAAAGGTTTCCTTGATTCTCAAACCAAAAAAAAACCAAAAAACAAAAATACACAGCGTTTCCTTGCACCGAGGGCGCCAAACACTGTGTATGTTTGGTTTTCTTGGTCTGAGGCGCATGGAAGGGTGCCGAGAGGGAGGCCAGCGCGGACATTCGGGCTTGCAAAACCAAAGAAAAAACACAGCGTTTCCTTGCTTCTCAAACCAAAAAAAACAAAAACAATCAAACATACACAGCTTTATCCTTGCACCGACGGCGCCATACACAATGCATTTTAGGTTTCCTTGGCTTGGGAGACGCAGGGAAGGAGGAGGAGGAGGAGGAGGAGGAGGGGGAGGAGAAGGAGAGGGGAGGAGGAGGAGGAGGAGGAGGAGGAGGAGGAGGAGGAGGAGAGCGACGAGGAGAAACGATCAGTGAAGATTTTGTGGTTTGAGGACGAGAGCGACGAGGAGAAACGATCAGTGAAGATTTTGTGGTTTTGGTGGTTTGGGGGTGCTGGGGGGGGGGGGGGGGACCAAAAATATAGACATGCAAACGTATATCTATGTAGGTATATCTGCCTGTCTGTCTGTCAGTCTGTCTGTCTGTCTGTCTGTCCGTCTGTCTGTCTGTCTGTCTGTCTGTCTGTCTGTCTGTCTGTCAATGTGTGTCTACGTATGATTATATAGATATATCTATAGGTATATACATAGATATGTATATATGCATATGTACAAATACACAACAGACAACAGGGGGTTGGGGGGGGCCGCTGCCTCGCGTCGCCATGGGTGTCTCTGGGAGCCGTCCTGGAGGGGGGCCCTGCCAGCTGGCGTCGCCATGGGCGCTCCGGGCCTCCGGGAGCCGTCCCGGAGAAGCCCCGAGCCGCCCGCGCACACCTAACAGCAACCCAAGACGCTCACGACAGCTTCCAGACAGCCAGGATGCCTCCAAGACGCCCCAAGAAGCCGCCGAAAACCTGCCCAAGAGGCCCCAAGGCCCGAATTTCGCTGGTTTTGCGAATATGTCCTATGAATTTTCACGAGTGCGCGTGTCCAGCTCTGGTGCAATCCGAAACGGCCCCAGACGCCCTGGAGTTCGACTTGAGACTGCCCAGGAACCTTTTATCACGGCCCAACAACAGGCCAAGAGGGCCTCCAGAGCTCCCACGAAGCTGCCAGCAAGCCCTTCAGACCTGCCCGAATAGACCCAGGGAGCCCATCCTCGCCACATGGCGACCCAAG